ATTTAATAAATACCAATTAAAGAGTAGAGAAAAAAATTTACAAAAACAAAAAATTAGAGAGTAGAAGTAACTTTATATTTTGAGAAGGAGAATGAGAGAAAAGAAGAGAGAAATCATATATTTAATCAATTTCATGATTTGCTATTTTTTGAGAGGCTTGTTATATATAACAAGCCAAAGTTAACATTTACCAAGTATGTTATACTATAGCAAGCCCCTTGGAGCACAAAAATTGAAATGAATTGCCAAATAATAACATTTAACAAGCCAAAACTCGAGATGCTTTTAGTGGTATTACTACAGCCCTAAGTTTACCACTACAACCATCTTTATATTACTTGTCTTATCTAAATTCTAAATTGACCATAGAAAGTACCGAGTAGTATCAAATGGCAGATAAACTCAATAAGTCAATTTTAACGGACAAAGAAAATAAGTACGGAGCCTCAAATCACGAGTTTTTTTTTTTTAAAAAAGCTTAGTTGGTTAATCTTTGAATTACCATTTCCAGCCAATAGGATTCGAGAACCAAAGCCTACCGATCCGACACGAGAGCGCAACTTCAAATCCTGACCGTTCATTACCCCGGAAAAAGCACAAAATCCCTCTTTAACAACCGTACGATTATTCCTTTTGAAAGCACACGGATATCCAATCTGGACCGTCCATGTCCATCAATCGCCGCATCTTATGCCCTATAAATACCCTCCGATCTCTTTTGGATTTAAACTTTCGCATTTTATCGACTGAAGCAAGCCGCGATTTGCTGGGATTTCGTTCGGAGAGGTGAGTTTCTCGAACCCTAATCCGCTTCTCTCCTACGATTTTGCTGAGATTTCGTTCAGAGGTGAGTTTCTCGAACCCTAATCCGCTTCTCTCCTACGATTTGGCTTTGATTCTTAATCCGACTGGATCTATTTCTTGCGTTTTTGTTTCGAATCATGAGATATTTGATATGAATTGCAATTATTGATTTGAATTTGTTCCGCTGTATGATTGTTTTTGATAATCGTTTCTCGTTGCATCTCGATCTAACGTTTTTAGTTCTTCAACCAATATTAGTTTTTTTCTGCAATCAACTGCGTGTTACGCTGATGAATCTGACTCGAAATTGATTAGGGATATCTGTTTCATGTAGTTCGATGATGTATTGATTTTGAAGAATGTAACATTATATGAGATTTTTTGAGTAATTATTCTTGAATATTTGATCTAGTTGAATAATTTTCGTCTACTGGATGTTTAGATGGCTCGTACTAAACAGACTGCTCGTAAATCCACTGGAGGAAAGGCTCCTAGGAAGCAACTTGCAACCAAGGTCTGTGTGCCTTTAAGTCTTTTTTTGTTCAGTTTGAACGTGAAATTGAATATTTACGAGTTTACTGTTATTAATGTTAAGAGTTTTGAGGTTTCATATAAAAAATTTGTGTTTGCAGGCTGCTAGGAAGTCTGCACCAACTACTGGTGGGGTGAAAAAACCTCACAGGTACCGCCCTGGTACTGTTGCTCTTCGGTGAGTTCCATTTGCAGATAATAATATTATTCTGTGATAAAGTTTGGCTTTGTTTTTCATTGGTGTACTTAAGATGTTCAAATGTCTAGGGAAATCCGCAAGTACCAGAAGAGTACTGAACTCCTGATCAGGAAGCTCCCCTTCCAGAGGCTTGTCAGGGAGATTGCTCAAGATTTCAAGGTAATGAAACTCCTCAATTTGTGATTGAATTTGCCTAGGATGTTTTCAGTTGGATAATCTCTTCAGTTATTATAAAAACTTGAATCATATTGAAGATGAAATCTCAAACACCCAAAGTGGGTAGAATGATGTGTTTGTCAAAACAATTTGCCCTCCATTGTTCAATCAAGAGAAGTGCCTGATATTAAAATCTTTCTTTGTGTTGCAGACTGATCTGCGATTCCAGAGTCATGCTGTTCTTGCACTCCAGGAGGCGGCTGAAGCTTACCTTGTTGGTCTTTTTGAGGACACCAACCTTTGTGCCATCCATGCCAAACGTGTGACCATAATGCCCAAGGACATCCAGCTTGCCCGGAGGATCAGGGGCGAACGTGCTTAGATACAATGGCCATACGATTGTATCCCTTTGCCACCTATAACTGTTCTGTGTCTTGCCGTCTATTTGTTGTCTCTCGTGTAGTTAATTAGTACCTAATATTTTGCTTAGTGGTTTTTAAGTGCTGGTGTCAAGGATATTATTTCGTTTGTCAACTGAAGTGTCTAATGTTTCCGGGGTCACACCTCTGGTGTTAAACAATGTTCAATGTTATCTTGTTTGTAAATGCACTCCCATGTGTTTGTTTTCTGGCACACAACTAAAATTTACTCTTTTTTGGTGGAGTGCAATTTTACAGAGTATAATCCTTCTCCCATTCAAGTTTTCATGTAACTGAGGTGTTTGCTCTTTTCGTTTCGAAATCGTCATTGTTTCAGTTTTTTCAAATGGAAAATTTTGAATGAAGTTTTTTGGAACATGTGGGCACTTTTTTATAACCCAGATGTTTAAATTAAACGAGTTGTGAGGAGTATATAGGCTGATTTTGTGAATAGTGACCTTGAAGTTAAGGAACAAATTGATGAGAGATAGATGTGTCTCAAATTATAATGTCTGTTAGGGTCAAATTTCATTCACTTTCTTTTTCTATTTTCATTAGCAATTTGATAAAATAAAATATTGTTGTCATTACTAGTTTTGTAGATCTTTTGATTTAGTTTTTTAATATGTAATTTTTTTAACTCTATACCATTTGTCATATAAAATGGTTTGAAAATAATTTCAGTTAAACATCGTAAATTGAAATAGTTGTTATAAAATGGGACGGAGGTAGTAATTTAAAATGAAAATAAAAGGACAGGGAAATTTATTTTGGATGTATACATTTTGGTTGGTGAGAATTGAAGTAAACAATTATATGGTGAATATCAAAACCAAGAAGAGTTCCTCAAAAAAAACCACGTTGGTTTGTTTATCATGTAGTCTGAGTTACCATTTTTAAAATTTGCACTACTAAAACATGCCTCTTTTTTTAATGAAATATTTAATTTTTTTATTCCTTAAATAGTACTTGAATAATATCTAGTGGTGAGATTGGAACAAAGTCTAATAATGTTGGACATTTAGTTTGAACAATATCCATGGCGGAGGACATTACTTGAACAATGAAAAGTGGACAATGAACAGTGGTACGACATTGGTACGACATTGGAAAGTAAAAACATATGATACTACATTGAGAAAAACACTATGTTTTAGTGTTATTTAGATTAAATCTCCTTATCTTTTATCTAATTAATTAATCATGGAACTAATAAAATATCCTACATATTTAATCGATAATTAGTCGATGGACGTAATTATCTTTACGACCTAATTAGGGTTTCTTCTTGTGCGTATAAATAGAAGTCACGAGAAAGAGGTTAACACAGCAATGTTACGCCTCTGCCTTACATTCACGTGAGTTGCATTTTCACCTTAGTCATCACTCATCATAACGATACACCGTTAATGGGAAATCGATCTGTATCAGAGTCATGACCTCATCTCTAATTACGTTCACATGATTATCAGGTGCACATAATTTAATTTCTGATTTATATTTTATGTTTAAGAATTAATCAACACCATATTCCCATTCTAGACACCTAGTGCGTTTCTTTGACCAAAACTGCAAATAGGACTAGTGTTTGGGGAAAAAAAATTAACAATGTATATTAACTTGAAAAAACATCACAACTAAATACCGTACTTAGATAGTTTTTTCAAAACGTTGAAAGTAGTTTTTAACTCCCCGTGTGGGTAGCTTAGTGGATCAACTCTTAATACAAAGTTAATGAATAATTATACTCCCTCCGTCCTAAAATTTTCTTCCCGGTTCGCAAAACGAAGAAAAATTCCAAGTTTTTTCAGTCTATTTTATTTAAATATTGGTATAGAAATAAAAAATAAAACATACATATTTAAAAACTACATCAAAAGTTCAAAAAAACAAGTGGTGACAAGAATATTTTATTTTATCATATAGACCATGAAAAAACATAAATAAATGTAAATTCCCGTGAAATTGGAATAATGCTTTGAGAAGAAAATTTTAGGACAGAGGGAGTAACATTTTTCTAACCATAGGTCCTTAACTAAATTGGTGGGCATTGTAGCAACAATTAAGGTTAGTGTTTTCTCTAATCCAAACCACAAGTCCCTAACTAACCTTCTCTTCCTCACACATTTCTCACCAATAAAACCACAATGGTCCCTCCATTTCCACCCTTTTTCCTTTGTTCTTCAATAAATATCTCCATTCGTCTATCCCCATTTTCCTTTTATTCAACTTAATTTTTTTTAAAAAAAGATAATAAAGGTTGTGTGCTTTGCGATTCAATCTTGTGTGATTTTTGAGGGAGTCCAAATCTTTGTCGATTGATTTTCGACAGAGAGAAGGGGTTCCTCCATCTTTTGCAGATATTATATCTGCAAATCCAAGCTAAGCTTTGTGGGATACAAATCATCTTTACAAAGATTTTCCTTGCCGGTATGTAACACACATATATAGATTTTTGTTTTGGCGAAAATGAGATTTTAGGAGAGAAATGAGAATGCATGCGGTGCTTTAAAATCTGAAATCTAAAGACCATAAAAATTTAAAAAAAAAGCGGTGGCAATTTCGTAATTTAATTAAACATTGTAAAATGCACTACGTGCATAGACAAATGCACCATGGGCGAACCAAAATGCACCATTCTCATTTCACTTCACAAGGTTCATTCTCACATGAACTCTATACACACACACACACACACACACGTGTGTGTGTGTGTGTGTATGTTGGCTAAATCCACCATTTTCATGATAAATAGACAACTTTCCCCTTAAAAGTTCTAACTATCATCTTTTGTAGTTTTAAGGGCAAAATTGTCCATTCATCATAAAGGGGATGAATATAGCTAAAACGGGATGGATTTAGCATTACCCAATATTTTATTACTCCATATTGTACATTTTTACACTATCAAAATAAAGGTAAATAATAAATTGTAAAAATACATATACATGGCTTCTTTACTTTCAAAAAGAGAACAGGATCTCTAAACAAGGATATGCAATCCTATTTCAGTAAAATGTACACATTAAATTTAGAATCGTTTATTGAGAAATCTCAAAATAAAATATTTTTATGTCTTAGACATTATTGAATGTCCGTAAAGTTTATTTTTATTTACGGGTATAGTGGGAGAGATTATATTAAATACTACTCCGTATATATTATAAAATTTACATCTTTTTATACTTCTCAACCATCCTTGAAAAACTTTATGTGGAACAATCTTCTTTTAATTATTATAGGCCTTTGTTTTTTTTAACTTTTATTATAAAAGTTTGGAAGATTGGGAAAAATAAGAAAATAAATTTTCTTCTATTTGAGATTAAACTTTTTGAATTGGTGCAGATTAAGATACATCCAAATCTAAAGTGATGCAGCAACATAAAATGGGGGAGCTGGAGGAAGATAAACAGATGGATTCTGGGGTTGAAATGCTAAAGAAGAGACTCTCTGTTTCCCAAGAAAGTGAAGAAGCTGCACTCTTGAAAGTCAACATTTTAATAGAAGAACTTAACTCACTAAAAAATGAGCTAAAGTTGGCTATGGAGGCAGAGGACAAGAGCAAAAAGGCTATGGATGACTTGGCGTTGGCATTGAAGGAAGTCGCGACCGAGTCTGCCGAAGCCAGGGCTAGGCTTGGCGTGACTCAGTCAGAACTTGACCAAGCGAACGAAGAGAATCAAAAGCTCAAGCTGATGGTTAGGACCACCAAGGAAAGGTACAAGAAGCTTCTAGAAGACGCCGAGAGAGAAGTCGAGACGCAGAGGAACACGGTGGAGAGGTTGCGGGTAGAGGCCGAGGAGTCGGTTTTCGCTTGGAACGGGAAGGAGATGGGGTTCGTGACGTGCATCAAAAGAGCCGAGGAAGAGAGGGCGATGGCCCAACACGAGGCGACGAAGCTAGCCGAGGCGTTAAGGATGGCTAGGGAAGAGACCTACAAGTTAAGGGACATACTCAAACAAGCATTGAATGAAGCCAACGTGGCGAAATCCGCTGCGGATATCGCGCGCGCCGAGAACTCCCAACTGAAAGACCTCTTGTTCGAAAAGGAGGAGTCCGTACATTTCCTCTGCCGGGAAAACGAACGCCTCAGGATCAACGAGGCCGCGGCGAACGAGAACGTCAAGCAGTTCAAGTTGATGCTCTCGTACGTCTCCCAGGAGCTGAAAGCCGAGGGAAACGGCCCGCCACACGAAGAGGACGAAGAGGACGACGACGAAGACCAAATTCATCTGGAAGTGGTCAACCAGTTAGACCCAAAAAAGTTCAGCTTCAACCTCAGCGAGCTGCCTCTTCTCGAAGACGACGACTCAGGGTCCAGGGTCGAGCACGACGAGGACCCCGAGAAGCTCGAGGCCCTCAAGGGGTCGATATTCGACACGCCGTTCTCGCCCAAGTCCGAGCCACGAACCCCGCAACGACGCACGACGCACCACCGACGCAAGTCCACCGCGTTCACGGACGCGGAGGGATCGCCGAGTGCAGAAGATGCAGAAAACAACAATGGAGATTTCTTTCAACACCATAGCCAAATGGATGATTCTGACAGTGAAAGAATTTTACATAGAAGGAAAAGGGCATTGTTTCGTAGAGTTGGTGACCTTTTATTGAGAAAGAGTTTCAGCAGGAAAGAGCCTTCCCCGCTACCATCACCTTCCCCAGCATCGGTCCCACCACACTCCCCACTCCACGACTAGGCCTCTTTATATGTAGAACAACGGTGAGGTTCTAGTGACACCCGAGTACGATGACACTCCGGTGTCACTGTCATTTTGGGAACTACCGGTGCTCCATTCGTAAAATTGACGGTTCCTACCCTAAAAACTCACAGTGGAACCGCTAGGGGTATCGTACTCCGGTGTCACTAGAACCCCACCGATAGAACAAAGATCTTTGGACACCTCCCTTGGGTGTCATATTATGGCTTCGTAGGATCTTTGTGTCATAATATAATTTGTTGTATAAAAAAATTGTCAGATAACCTCTCATAATTATATAGTGCATTGTTGTAACATAAAATGTTATGACATTTTTGTATTATATTGAGTATTATAGTGTTTTGCTAACCATGAGTATGCCCAATGTATGTATAATGTATGTTCTTGTTCACTACTATTGTGTACATAGTAATCTTTGTTTGAATTTGTGTTCGAAAAAAATGCCAAATTATTGTGAATTTTAAAAAAAGTATGAATATCTATTTGGTTTAATGTTTTTGAAGATTTGTATTATGGTTTCATAATGAAGTGTCAATGAGAAAATCAAGAGTACATAAGAACAAGAAAGAATATAATTCTAAGTTGACAAGATGGCCATTTGTATAATGGAATGTAGAATTATGTGTAAAATAAGAATTGTCACAAAGTATAACTATTGAAATTTAAATTGAATACATAAGACATAACTTGTGCGTTTCATAGAAATAATATTCACAAATCTGCTAAGTATTTGTCCTAATTCTAGTATTTTAAAGATTTATGTAATGTTTATTGATTTTTATCAGTATTTTGTGTTTTACATTTATTTTTATATTTTGTTTTAGCTTAGGATTTTAAGAAATTATGTCGATGAATTTGGATATTGGAACTGTGCCAATGCTAGTGAAGTTGTATATTGGAATCAGATTGAAATCGAATCTAGCGAGTCAAAACCGTGACCTGAACAACTTGAACATGTGCCCAAGCTGACCATAAATGGATCGAAACACAAAAGATATTTCAAACAACTCAAAATCTGATTAGGTTATTCAATGCAGTGTGGTTCGGACTCGAACCTCACAAGTGCCCTCCCCTACTTGGCGTGTTGTATAATGGATTACAGCATCATATCTAAAATGTGAATTGTCACAAAGTATATATCATTATTGAAATTTAAGTTGAATACATAGACATACCTTTTGCATTTCGTTTAAAAAGTATTCTTGGTTTAATTACGTATATTGAAATCTCATTTTTTTTAATTTTTGATGGATGATATTAAATTTCTTATCAATATTTGTTAGAGTACATTATATTTATCGTAGTTTATTTATGTCTTGACCCTTTTAGAGTTGGGCATTTGACTTTTACATTCTGCATATATAATGAGTGACGTCAATGGAATACACACAGTTTACCATACGTTTACAAAATTCTGCATCCATACTTTATTTAAAAAGACATGGAATCAATATTGCGTTTTCCTGTCCAAAGACTATGGCCATTACATATGGTAATGTGAAGTTAAAATGGTAAGTGTCCGAAATTATAGTAATATAAAATTTAAGTTTTATAAGTATAATTATTATATTATATTTATAATAATTAACTGTCATAATTATTTAAAATTACCATTTTTAAAGTAAGGAAATAAAAATCCAGAAAGTACCATTTTTAAAATTTTTCTCCTTTAATGATAAAAATTTAAAAGTATTATATTTAATAAAACTGATTATTATTAAAAATGGTAACAATGTAGACCGACGTAATTACGAATTAAATAAAAAAAGGTAATTTCCGGATTTTTATTTCCTTACTTTAAAAATGGTAATTTCAGTCTTAATTTTTCTCATTTAATGATAAAAATTTAAAACTATTATATTTAATAAGACTGATTATTATTAAAAATGGTAATAATGTAGACCGACGTAATTACGAATTAAATAAAAAAGGTAATTCATTAAGATTGATTATTATTAATAGGAAAAAATTATTTATAAAAAATATTTATAAACTTTAATACACGCCAATCAATGTTATTAAAAACGTGTGTATGATTATTTTTACCATAATTATATAATTATATGATTATTGTGTGACTAGGTTATATAAAAAACGTGTGTATGATTATAGTATAATATAATTATGGTAAGAATAATTATACACACAGTTTCGAAAAAATATTAATAAGGTAAAACCATTTAAATATATATATTTATATTTATATTTATGTTTAATAGCAAGAAATGTGATAACCAAAAAATGTAATAATTATAACTCCGTGCAATTATTACCTATATTAATCGTAAGTGTCCGAAATTATAGTGTCCATTTTTAACCCATGCACGAAATATGTCCATTACATATGACAATTGTGAAGTTAAAATGGTAAGTGTCCGAAATTATATTAATATAAAATGGTAATTGTGAAGTTAATATAATTATTTTTTATAATAATTAACTGTCATTTTTAAAGTGTCTAAAATTATACTAGCAAGAAAGATAAGTTATAACATTGAAAAGCGTAAGTTTTTATTAAAATTGGAATCTTACGTGTGATTTTAATTATAGTAATTTTAATTAAAATTGTATGTTACGTGTGATTACCGTGTCAAATTAATTATAGTAATTAAATGTTAATTACCTTGTCAAATTAATTATAGTAATACGTGTGATTACTGTGTCAAATTAACTATAGTAATTAAATGTTAATTACTGTGTCAAATTAATTATAGTAATTTTAATTAAAATTGTATATTATGCTATTAATGAAAATCTAATATTACGTGTGACTACATAATTGTATATTAATTACCGTGTCAAATTAATTATATTAATTTTAATTATAGTAATTTTATAATGGCTATATTTTAATTATAGTGGCTATATTTTATAATGGCTATATTTTACTATATTTAATTATAGTAATTGTAATAAAAAAAAAGTAATAATTAGCCAAGGTATTAATTATATAACTGTGTGACTAGATAATTTTATACTCCGTATTAATTACCGTGTCATTTTAATTATATTAATTTTAATTATAGTAATTTTAAATATAATAAATTAAATAATTTGAATATAGTAATAGTAATTTAAATTCGTTATAGCATTTTGAAAAATGAATAATTTTTTTAACCCCGTATGCAAAAATCATATTATAAATACATCCATTTACAAAGCTTTCATAGTCATTACATTCATGATGAAGCTACAAGCAGGTAATGATGAAGCTACAAGCAGTTAGGGTTTGTCACAAGTTTCCGTAACAATAATCCAACATGTTTTAGTCATTGACAACTCTATGTTGCAGTTTTATGAGTAATTAATCGTAGTGAGTTGAAGATTCTGATATGCAATGAAGACAATATTCCCATAAATTGTACAAATAATGTAGTTTATAAAGAGGTCTTTTAAAATTTTTAAAACAGTGATGTTTTGTACCTTAAAATAATATAATATCTATATATTCTATTGCATATCATTTTTTATCATTGAAAAATTATTTGAATTTAATAACATAAAAATGACCGTGTGATACTAGTTGAATTCAAAAGGGGTGAATTTAGCAAAAACAGGTAGGCTAGCAACGGAGTATAAATTGTGTATAGAAATGAAACTATTTAACAACAAATCACTTCTACAGAAGACATAGGGGTGGTGGCGCAGTTGGCTAGCGCGTAGGTCTCATAGCTTATCGAGAAATCCTGAGGTCGAGAGTTCGAGCCTCTCTCACCCCAAAATTTTGCTTCTTTGCTAAATCCAGGTTAGACAGCGGATTATAGGTATTAAATAAGTAAATACAAATGAAATCAAAAACCGACCTTAGCTCAGTTGGTAGAGCGGAGGACTGTAGTAGGCGTTTAACCTGACAGCCAATCCTTAGGTCGCTGGTTCGAATCCGGCAGGTCGGATCTTTTGAACTTCAAACTAATTCTTAATTTTAAAATTATAAAAATTACTCTTGGGATTTATTCATTTTTTGATGAGATCTCATATTATCTAAAACTTATATTCCTTAAAATTTATAGCAATGTAATCCAAGAGCACTTTTCATACCGTTAGTATTGTAAATTTCATACTTTAACAAATACTCCCTCCGTCCCTCATAAATCTTCTCAATAGCCCTTTTTCTTTGTCCACAATAGATCTTCTCATTTCATTTTTTAACAATTAAAATACCACAACTACCTCCACTTACTTTATTTATTACACCTCACTCACCTCATTTAATACACTCCACCCATTTTTCATTAAGGGTATTATGGTAAATTTTCACCTTTTTTCAACTTTCCTTAAAAACCACCAAAAGTCAAAATGAGAACATCTTAGGGGGACGGAGGGAGTACTAAATTTTACATCAAATATTGAATTATTGTAATTTAGTAATATAATTTCAGAGATTTATTTTTTTTGCTAAGATCTCACATTATTTGAAATATATATTCTGTGAGTTCTTAAAATTTATAGTAATGTATTTTAAGGACACATTCCGTCTCTTTGACCGTTTGCATTGACAGTTCCGGTATTTTGAAAAATACTGAAATTTACATTCATTATTTTATTAAATTTTAGTAAAGTCCTTCAATTTGTAAAAGCAACAAAACTTTATATCCTAACATCTAAATCAACGAATTTACCCTTGGGTAAAATATCATAAATTTGAAGAATTCCGTAGTATATTTTAGACAATGTGAAACCTGAGATTTTTTATCAGAAAATCAAAAGTGTCGCAAAGTATATTTTGAATGATGAGATTTGAGAGTTCTTACCAAAAAGTCAAAGATATCCTAAAGTGTTTTTTCTAAACATAAAGACATAATTATTATTTTAATGGCAGAATTGTAATTTTATATAAAATATATTATTGATCATTTGATAAAGCTATATAATTAAGCCAAGTTTTCTTTTTTACTTTTTTCATGAAAAACTATACTCTATACTTTTTATTTTCTTACTAATTTATAATTATATGAGTATAAAAGTAATTTAAGTAACTACTCACTCTGTCCGAATTTTTATTTCCATCCTCAACTTGTAACGTAACAAAAATACTCCATCTTTAAAAAATGTAACAAAAGAATATCCATTGTCGAAATTTTGAAAATCCGGCCGATGAATGCACATGTGGGCTTTGATTTGCCTTCCCAGTGTACATGTGACATTCCATATGACTTCTAAAATGACTTGTAACTTCTTCTATGCGTGATCAACTTTGTACTTAACACATACAGAGTATAAAATCAAGTTTTATTTTTTAAAAAATACTCAGTATGTTTTATTTGTATAGTATCATTTTTTAATTTTTAGAAAATATTTTAAGCCAAACTAGTGACTACTTTTTAAATAATTGTCTTTATTGTAATTTAAAGGGCAAAGTTTCTTATTTATTTAAATTTTAAAATATTTACAATCTTTTAAAATTAGAATTTAAATAGATAAATAAACACGAAGTTGCATGAACGCATCTTCCAAAAAATAATTAGATAACTTAAAAAAACTCAATACAAGTATCAATAATGCATGATAATAATGATGATTATAGTCGTAGTAGTAATCATAACAATAAAAATAATAATATGTATTTTTTAAATCTAAATTTCAAAAAAACCGTAATAAATCTTTAAAAGTATATTATAGATAATTATTAAAATGTTATTGCTACTTATGTTTAAAATACGTATATATCTTGTAGATTATAAATTTTTTAAAGTGTTAAAATTGAAATAAAAATCTTAAGAAAGCACGAGGTTAAAAAATTAAAATATACTCCCTAAAATATACTTTCATTACAAGAAAAAAATTAAGTTGTAAATAAAATAAAGTGTAATCTTTTTAAAAAAAGTTGGCTTTATTTGTGTCAATTAGGAATTTAATAAAATATTGGATAAATTACAAGTTAACTTGAAAGTCATATAGAATGTTACATGTTGATCAGAAAATTAAGTAGAATGCTACATGTGCACTCACTGATCATATTCTTAAAATTCTGACAAGGAGTATGTTTTTGTTATATTTTTAACGATAAAATACTTTTTTGTTATAAGTTGAAGATGTGATAGTTTTTGTTACCATGCTCAAAGTGGTAAAAAAGCAGCAAAAAGATTATCTCGATTGTGATTATTATTTTCTCAGAAAATTACTGTCGGATACCCTCAGTTTTTTATAAGAACTTACAGGTCTCATCTTTTTTAAAAATATACTCCGAGGTACTTTTAATTATTTGAAAACTATCTCCGGGGGGACATTCCGTTCATTCCTTCGTCAAATTCATTTTCTCCGTTTACTCTTCATCATCTTCTCCTTAAAAATTGATGTTAGGTATCCTCAATTTTGTAAGAATAAATTTCATGTTCCATCATTTTTAAAAATATACTCCAGGGTACCCTAAAATATCCACAAACTTACTCAGGGAGACTTTCTTTTTTACCTTTTATTATTATTATTATTATTATTAGTAGTAGTAGTAGTAGTATTAGTATTAGTATTATTATTGTTATGATTATTATTAATATTACAATTACTATCACTATTATTATTGCTATTATTATTATTCTAGTGCGTGTAGCGACAATCCAACGCAACTCAATAGGCAAAGCGGCAACAAGTGACAGCTGCATAAGACAATGATGAAGTAAGTAGTAGTAATAATAATAATAATAATAATCACAATAATAATAATATAATAATAATAGTAATAGTAATAGTAATAGTCTGTAAAAATTAATAAGAGGAAAAATATTCTGTATATTGAATTGTCTTGTTAATGCAAAGGTCTAACCCTATTTATATAGGAAGAGAGTAACCATATAAATAAACTTTTATTCCTACTATATTTTTATTCCTACTATAACAAGAACTAAGCAAACTAGAAAAGATACTAAACCGAATTCCAAAGGGATTCAGTTTCCTTCTTTGATCCAGCTTTCTTCTTCTGTCGCCAACACCCCTCAAGCTGGAGCATGAGAGTTCCATATGCCCAGCTTGGACATCAAAAGATTGAACAAAGAAACAGAGCTTGAGGAAGCCGCTACCATCGTTGTCCAAGTGTCATCTAGACACTTCAATTTTTTTATTCAACGGAGACGCCAAGCTTTTCGAATCTGCCGAATAATCAGTTGAGTAAAGGAACGCCATTCTTTTTGAACCTTCACCGTATTCGAAAAAACAGGGGGAATGCCATTCTTTCCGAACACCCTGAACGCCGACTTTTTTTATTGCCTGCTAAGAAAAGATATGTCTGTCTCTGTAGAACAACCCTTCTCGGAAAGCTTCTTCAAGATTGATGGTTGGACGGGATTCCTCGACAACAATGTTTTTCGTTGAAAGAGTTCATGATATTCTTTAGTGAGGGAGAACAATCAAAGAAAATAAAAAATTACAATGTCCCGCCGGGAGGCATTGAATTGTGTATGCCCACCGGCAGGGGAAGAAGCATGTTTGAGGTTTCAAGAATTTAAAATTGGCTCCGATACCATGTAGAAATTAATAAGAGGAAAAATATTCTGTATATTGAATTGGCTTGTTAATACAAGGTCTAATCCTCTTTATATAAGAAAAGAGTAAGCATATAAGTAAACTTTTATTCCTACCATATTTCCATTCATACTATAACAAGAACTAAGCAAACTGGAAAGATACTAAAACGAATCCCAAAGGGATTCCGTTTTCTTCTTTGATCCAGCTTTCCGTTCATACTATAACAAGAACTAAGCAAACTGGAAAGATACTAAAACGAATCCCAAAGGGATTCAGTTTTCTTCTTTGATCCAACTTACTTCTTCTGTCACCAACATAGTCACATAATAATAATAATAAATATAATAATACTTCGTAATAATCTAAGAATAATAATACTAATAATAATAATACTTCAATAATAATAATAATCAATGAAAAAGGGAAATTCCTTCATAGCAAGTTTTTGGATATTTTAAGGTACCCGGGGTATATTTTTAAAAGTGATGAGACCTGAAAGTTATTTTTACAAAATTAAGAGTACCAAACAAGAATTTTTGGGAAGAAGATGATGAAAAGATAACATAGAAAATGTCCTAGATAATTAAAGGTAACCAAAATATATTTTTTAAAAAATGAGACCCATAAGTTTTTGTCACAAAAACGAAGGTACCCATTAGCAATTTTTTATTATTTTCTTGTTCATTATTTATTTTAAAAAAATGCCCTTGATAAACTTGAAAATTCCCCTCCATTTGGATGGAGAAAGTGGCGGGTGAAGCTTCGCAAATGGGAAGGGCCGTCATCTCAGTCGGAAGTCTGATAGTGCAACAGAACCAACAACCCGTCTCCATTGGTAAGCTGCTGAAGAAATCTTCTAATCTCCGGCAGCTTCAATCCCTGTACGAATCGGTTATCAAAGCCGGCCGATTTTCTGGTTTCCTATTGCATATGAACCGGCCAGTTCATGTTCCGGATCTGGTTAAAAAATTCCCAAACTCCGAGCAGTTCGAATCCTTATACGGATTAATCACCAAAGGAGGTTTAGCCGCAGATTGTTTCCTGATGAACAGATTAATCAATGAGTCTGCTGTTTATGACATCGATTTCGCTACTAGGGTATTTTCGGAAATGGTAAATCCGACTGTGTTTGCTTATACGGCGTTGATGCGGGCGTCTGTTCATTGGAACCGGCCGCTTGGAGGTTCAGATCTGTATGCTGAGATGCGGGCGGGTGGATTTAGCCCGAACAGCTATGCATTCTCTTGGATTGTTAAGAGTTGTACTTTGCTCTGTGATTTGAAGGCTGGAGAATCGGTTCATGGCCAGGTTTGGAAATACGGGTTTTGTTCTCATGTTCATGTGTTGACTTGTTTGGTGGATTTCTATTCGAATCTCGGGAAGGTGGTTGAGTCCAGGTTAGTGTTTGAGGAAATTCCTGAAAGCAGGAAAGATGGTGTTTCTTGGAGTGCGATGGTTTCGGCCCTTGTGCGTGAGGGAGACGTGAGTTCTGCCAGGGAGGTGTTTGATAGAATGCCCGAGAAAGCCACTGCTTCTTGGAACGCCATGATTCACGGCTATGCTAGTGTTGGGAATGTGGAATCTGCTGAGCTGTTGTTCAATGAGATGCCGGAGAAGGATTTGATTTCATGGACTACAATGATCAAGTGCTATAGCCAAAACAAGATGCACAGGAAATCTTTACAAGTTTTTGAAGATATGAAAAAGCATGGGGTTACGCCTGATGAAGTGACCATGACAACAATTATTTCAGCTTCTGCCCATGTTGGATTTCTGGATCATGGGAAGGAATTGCATATATATGTGATGCAAAAAGGGTTTGATCTTGACGTTTATATCGGGTCTGCACTGGTTGACATGTATGCAAAGTGTGGGAGCTTGGAGAAGTCACTTGTGGTGTTCTTCAAGCTGCAGGAGAAGAATCTTTTCTGTTGGAATTCAGTGATTGATGGGCTTGCAGTCCATGGCTATGCAGTCGAAGCATTGGCAATGTTAGATAGGATGGAGAAAGAAAATATAAGGCCAAATGGTGTTACCTTTGTGAGTGTTCTATCAGCTTGTTGTCATGCAGGAATGGTTGAAGAGGGTCGAAGGAGGTTCTTTGACATGATATGTCGCTACCAAATTCTTCCTCAAATGGAACACTATGGTTGCATGGTGGATCTGTTATGTAAGGCTGGTTTGCTAGAGGAGGCATTAGAAGTAATAAAAAGAATGCAAATGGAACCAAATGCTGTTATATGGGGTGCTTTACTGGCTGGTTGCAGGATTTATAAAAACTTTGAAATTGCCCAAATTTCCCTAGACAATCTGGCCATCTTGGAGCCAAATAATGCTGGAAATTACACCCTTTTACTTAATATGTATGCTGAAGGAAACACATGGGGTGAAGTTTCCAGGATAAGAGAAGATTTCAAAGCATCTGGAGTTGAAAAGGAGTTTCCGGGATCAAGTTGGATTGAATTGGAAAAGACAGTTCATCAATTTTCTGCCTGTGGTTACTTTCATCCCGCTTCCCAAGAAATTTACTCCATACTAGATGGATTAGTTGGCCAACTTAAGCATGTTGAAGGTGTACAAGAGGATGGTTTTATTTAATCATTTTGCAAAGATTTTGAGGCAGATAAGGTCAATGTGATTGTTTGCAGTGACGAAACATGAGCGGGCAAGTGGTAGGTGAATTTCCCCATGAAGGCCTTGGTCGTGTGGGACTTAAACCAGGTATTATTCATTCAAGCCTGCATCATTATGGAGCGCTTCTAAAATTGTTAAATAATTACCTTGCACTTATTGTGTGATTTATTCTCATTGTCTTTAAAAATGGGATGAGATGCTTATGTGAAAAAACTGAAAATAGCTCTGTTATTTAAAACTCTACTGAGGCGCTATGCACTAGGCCCGAGCCGGCCACCTATTTAGTGCTTTTTAGACGACTGAATCACACAATTTTGTCTCATTGTTATCACCCTTAATCTCAGGTGGTTGACATATCCCTTCCCTTTGAGTGGGGTCGATTCCCAGCTGTGTAATACCGTATACGTGGAAGTTGGAACCAAGAAGATTATGTCTCACGGTGAATTCTCACAATATATTGACCCTCCAAACTTGGAGTATTAAATTGGTGCATTTTGGAGAGTTGCTTTGCCAAAATTGCACAATGTTCTCTCTCCAAACCTGCAGTATTAAATTGGTGCATAATTGAGGAGATCATGCATCTTCCTTAATACTCCCTCTGTCCCATAACTAAAGTCAAATACTCAAATGTACTTCACACGTATTAAGGGAATTTATAGAAGTCCTTTGATCTTCCTAGTCTACCACTGGAATGGTACGATGGTTCCGTGGGATATAAAATGGGGGTGGGTAGAAAAAAGTGATTGAAAAAATTAGAGGTATTATATTATATATGTAGTGTGTTAGTTAAACCCAAAATGGAAATGCGACCTTAATTCTGGAACGCCAGAGATGCAATGTGATTTAAGTTATGAGATGGAGGGAGTATTTACAGAAGCTTTGAACATGTATTGTATATCTAGTAAGAAGGTGAAGAAAAACATCCAAATAAGATATGGTCATAAGTAACAGTAGGGAGCTGTAGAAACTACTAGTACTGGTTTGCCCATACCTTAATTACAAAGATATTTGGAGTCTTTAGGTGATACGTCTGATAAGTGATAACTATCCAACTCAGTTAGCAACTGAGCTGATGGAGAGTTTGTTTCAGGATGATTCAAACACTTTTACCGTCGGATGGCTATTTACCACCCTGCAGTTTCTTCTGATCTCTCCAGGACGGCCTGATTGCAGGTCGCCCATTTTTATCATCCCTTCAGCAAATGCCTTGAAGAACTCATTTTGGTCTTCACTAAATTGCCTCACGTAACCCCTGGTTTGTGGGAAGGTGAAGAGGGTCTGGTCTGAGTTCAGAAATCCTCTCCCATGGACCAAGTCCTTAAAATATTGGTTGTCAAATATCACTCCTGTTGCATCTAAGTCTCCTGTTACGTTCCCATCACCTCCAAGTGGGCATAGCTTATGTAAATTGGCTCTAAATTTTGGTTCCATGGTTGGGTCAGGCTTGCCGGAACCTGATTGGTTGTATAGCCGGAAAACTATAGAGAAGCATCTTCCCTTACCAATGGAATGAGAACCTGAAAGTGCCACTAGATCTTTCACAGTGAGATTGAATCTGCTGAAGAGATCAATGAGGTAAGATGAGTTTGCCCTTGGGCTTGGCATGATTCTATCTGAATCTTGTTGGCTTGCTGTTAAGCTGTCTAGCCTTCCTAACTTCACATCCCACGTTGGCCCTCCACTCTGTGTTAAGAAGGAAAAAGATTCTTAGTGGTTTTTTTTTCTTGTGTATTTGAAAGATTAAGGAGCATCTTTCACATTTGGTAACTTGGAAATTATTTTACTTTCTAGGAAAATGGAAAACATAATATATACTCCCTCCGTCCCATAAAGATAGGGACGGTTTGACTAAAGTGGTAAAATAAGGTGGGATAATTTTGTGCTGACTTTCCAAAAATACCCTTGATGTGATGGGCAAAAGTAGGATGCGATGTGTAGATTATTAGGAAAAAGGTATGATGTGATAGGTAGTGTATGAAAAAGTAAGGGGTAAAAGTGATTTTTTAATAGAAATGAGAATGATTTTAAGGGACGCAATTTTTTTGAAACGGGAATGACTTATGGGACGGAAGGAGTATGAAAAAGAAAAACATGTTTAATTGAACTGTTTTTTTTTTTAATTTTCTATACACTATTCCGAATGCCGTTTTTCCAAACATGCTTAAATTACCTACCGCCACCCCACTTCCTCCACACCTCTACCACTGCCACCTACCCACCGCCATCTTCCAATTCAGATGAAGAATGGAGTTTGGGAGTTGTAATATCTTTTTCCAATGGAATATATGGTAGAAACTGGATTTGGGAAAGGACGATAATTTAGGGACGGATGGAGTATAAAAGAATAGACCAGTGAGGTTCACTCCATGTTCAATTGTATAACCTGTAATTAAGCATAGACCACCAAGGCTCACACTTTTGGTAAGAGGGTGAATCCCACGTGAAATGGGTTTTGACCCAGAAGTGAGGTTCAGGTTTGCCAAGTGGCTCGCTAAGGTAGGCACTAGGGTTATGAGACATTGTGATCTTCATGATCTCCCCCCCCCCCATGGTCTCTTGTGATTACGGAGCATGATCCCATGTCTTCCCAGGTCGAGTTGGATGGTTTCTTGTTCCCTGTAAATATTCCTTCTCCTTCCCCTCATATGGAGAAGAGATTGACATACAAATGACATAATGCTTCATCTACGTCTTTACGATCTAATTCATATTCATTATCTACGTCATAAGTTTGGTGAATTAAAGTCTTTACGACAGAATGCTTTTGGCCTTTAGGAAACAAAATAAAGTTCACCGGGTAAGAACAGATTACCAGGACAGTAGCATCTCTTGCAGCCATGATCAAGATGTCAGCACAAGAAACAATTCCCGGACAGACTCTCTCAACTTCTTCTTTAGCTTCATCAATAACCTCGTACGACCTTAGCGAGTTTATATTGGACAACGAGAGTTTTTCTCCAAGCATGCTTGGAGTGTCATCCAACAACAGAGAAGCATCACACCCCTGGAATTTTAACCATCAAAAAGAAATGAGGTAAAACCTGAGCAGAAAAGGGGACTTCTGTGATGTTAATTAGACCCATCAGAAACCATCAAATATTTAACTTAGTTTCAACACCTTTTTTTAAATATAAAAATAGTAAATATGATGGCAATTGGCTTCTTTTATTCATATCAGTCATTCTTTAATTCTGAGGTTCTTTTGACACCCAACCAGGTGCCATATTATGACACCAAGTCTATTTGAAGGCCTTACAGCACCTTGTTCGATCTCGAAGTGGTTCTTATTGCCTAATTCTCACACTAACCCTCCACCGTAGCCCCACCCCCATTTGGGTGACAATCTACTATCAATTTTTTTGACAATTGATTGTCATCTAAATGGAGGTGGGGCTAGGAGGGGCTGGGGTCGGAGCAGGGGGAAAGCTTGGAATGAAGGGGATTAAGGGCAGAAACTATTTCGGGATCCAACGGTATACCGCCGGGTTCTCAAATGGACTCGATATCAGGTTATTACACCAGCAGAGCAGCCTTTTGTGTCAAAAGAACCGGAATTTATTTTTAAAAACAGAATTAAATTTTGAAATAAGACTCTTTTAATGGAACATGGGAGCATTACATTAACAAAGCAATCGTGGAACTGCAGGCGCATGACTGAGGCAGTGCTTCTGGAATCTCTTGCCATATTCTTGGCTATAACATTCCTGACAATATTCTCTGCTTTTGGGCATGTCTTGGAGTAGTAGCCTGGTCGGAGCTCCATGGCTGCAGCCATTGCCAAGCTTAAGAGGAAGAGGATAAAGGTAAGAGACATTCCCACTTTTTTGCTTACTTGGTTCTTGGTGGTGATGGGAATGTCAGGTTGATTCTTATTGGGCCTTTCTACTTTCATTGAATCATTGCACACATATACTCTTCTCTCCCACATATGTTTCTTCTTATTTTGACTTGACACGTTTAATGAAAAATGAAAAATGCTTGATTTTTTATTTTTGCTTAGGGGCTGTAGTAAATTGAAGAGAGAGGTAAAAAAAGCGTATAACGCAAGGTAAGAATAAAATGGTCTTTTAGATACTCCATTTGTCCCACTATTTTTGGGACATGAGTCATTTGCCACAAGAGTCACCGACAGAGAAATTATGAATAGTAAGATTGTGTGGTTGATATTCATGTTAAAAACTAAGATAAATAAAGAAGAATGTGAACCACAAAACTGAAAGATGAAAGATAGATAGGGCGGGAAAAAGCTGGGAATTTCGAAGATTCCTCTTTTTGCTTTTTACCATATCAAGTTTTACCGTATGAAAAGCTAGGAAAAGTTTGGAGCTTATTCTGAAATGATAAAAGAGGTGGCTTTTCTTACTCTCTGTGTCCTAAAATGTTCTTGCTTTTTTGTTTACGAGGTTTGATCGATTTTTTTTCAATTCAATTTATTTGATTGTAGGTGTAAATTTAAAAAATAAAATTTATATATTTAAAAACTACATCAAAAGTTCTACAAAACATAAAATAGGTAAAAAATGATTAAAATTTGACAATATGAATAGTAACTGGGAAAAACGTTTTAGGAGAGACTAATTTATTGTCATAAAGTAGGAAAAGCACATCATTTGGTTCTTGAATTTTTCTTAAATTGATTCATTTAGCCCCATAGTATTTTGTCTTATTCAGCAATTGTATTTTTCATATCCATCACATTTCCCCACAGGAAGTTTAATAATCACTACTCCCTCCGTCCCAGAGTGTTTGTCCATTTTCATTTTTGCACACCTTCCAATGCACTTCTTTAATCCATTTTATCTTGTAATTTCTATATTAAAAAATTATATGTTAACACGAATCAAACAAGATCACACATGACTATTTTTAGTCTTACACATTGAGAGAATTTGATGAGTCAAAGTGCTTAGATGAACAGTTCTAAAAGTCAAAAGTGGACAAACACTCAGGGACGTAGTAAACAAAACATTACCTTCAAAGGCCCATATTTGATGTGCTTGGCATAAAAAGGATCATATACACGGGATGATCCATGAATTTGTCACGTTGTGACTGAGAAACAATTCAGTGTAGCTGTCCACATTGGACTTTCTCTGTTGCCTAATTTTGTGCCACAAATTTCAGAGGCCCCCACCAACCCACTCCTACCGTGTGTGGTTGAGTTGGTTGAATAAAACTTACTCCTAAGGTATGTTTTATCCCCTAAATATGAGCGTTGGCTCTCTATTTGGTTCAAGAAATTTGAGAGTGAAAGGAAAAGAAAACAAGAAGAAAAACATTTTTCTTGTTTGCTTAGAACGGAAAAAAAAATAAAAGTGGATGGAGAAGAAAATGAAGAGACAAAAAGTACTAAGGGGAGGGAAAACCAAATTCATTCCATTTTGGTGAGGAAAATGAGAGAAAACTGTTTTCTTTTCTTTTCCTTTCAAAATTTTTGAAACAAACATAATGTAAATGAAAATTTGGTTGTGTTGGTATTATTTGGTATTATAAGTTCTATTTTGATATAAAAACATTAAAGGTCTTATATTGGTATATGGGACATTTTTAGTTCTAGTTATAAGAAGTGAGATTGATACTTGAACCATTAAGGAACTAAGAGTTGAAAGAACTAGAAAAACTTTTTAGAAAATGTTGGAAGTTAGGAGATAGAATCCAAAGGAACAAGTCTTATCAAAATTTGTTTAAATTATCTACATAGATTTGTCATTGCTATAAGACTATTTTATGATATATGTTTCAATCTTTTTTAATGCTATTGATTCTTTGAGAATGTAGTTTATGTCCATAATTTCTCAACTTAATGAGATACAGTGAGCCAACCCCTCCGCTTAAAATCGAACGTAGATGAGCATCCGACAAGATCTTAGAGAGTTGTCTTATTACCATTTAATCTAATAGAGAAGATCGTTCTGATCTTAACATATCACAGAGACAATATATGGTTTTTGAATGAGGTCAAATGCTTAGGAATTCAAACCAAAATAGTTTTTAAAAAAGGTACCAATTTGATTATTGAGTAACATCGATCAAACTTATAGATTACGTAATTGTAAAAGATTAATCATTGCTGAACTATGAATTAACGTCATTGACAAAATTGAAGCATCATAAAGTAGAGCCAGAGTAGAGCGGATTAAATGTGTCACACCACATGTGTTTCAAACACCACATGTCATATTGTGTGCATCTACCAGCTCTTCGCTTTGGGAACCTGAATTGACGATTTTGATTCCACTTATTTTTAAGGCATTTGCATGTTTTGATTTACAATTTCTACAAATGAAAAATGGTATGGTGTAAAATGTATCCCGTGTAACATCAAAAAAACAAAAATCAAGCACGGTCGGGGACTATAAACGGATAACCAAAAATTTGATTACCGTCCGCATCCGTATCCGTTTATATGGAAAGTATCTGCATTCGTTAAAAGTGGTTATTATCCGTATCCGATTAAAGATATCCGATTGCTAAACGGATACGGATTTGGTAATCATACATCCGATCCGTTTATAATCCGCTCCGCATTGACATCCGTTTAAATAACCGTTTATCCGTATATCCGATCCGTTATATATAGTCTTTCCTAATTTTTTATTTTTATATTTTGTTTCTCTATAGATATCTCAAAGTATGAGACATTTTTATATGCAAAATATATGTGTATATCATTTTATGATATGAAGTCATCGTAGAATATCATAAAATATAAAAAAATTAATATCCCATAAAAATTATAGTTGATTTAATAATATTTTAATTTCGTTTAATTAAAAATTCAAGTATTGTTTAATTTAGTTTTAAAAATTGGAAACGGATACGGATATATCCGATATTCGACCGATATCCGACGGATGCGATACGGTTTTAATTTTTCAATATCCGTCTAGATCCGTATCCGAATTCGATATCCGACAAAAATAAACGGATGCGGATTTGATAATGGCACATCCGATCCGATTAAAATCCGTTTACACCCCTAAGCACGGACTGAAATTGTAATGGTGCCATCCCTACTCGATTTTGGTTAGGGTGCGATTATGTCCTCTTAGGAAACGAAAACGGAACCGAATTGTGTTTTGTGTTCATGCCAACTATGAATTGTTTGTTTATAGATCATTCTTGGAAGTAAATGATACGGACTGATTTCATTGTCCCATACCGGTTAAATGGAGAACTTGGTGATGAGTTTATATAGCCAGGGGTTCTCCCACCTTAATAGCTAGCTTTTAGGGTGTGACTCTCTCTCTTGTGCTGTATCAGTAATTTTAGATTACTCATGGAAAATCAAATTTTAAATTATAAGATAACATATTGTATTGTAATACAATCAATAGTATTAAAAAAGTGATATAAGTCTGATGGTTCTTGTCTTTTCCTAATATTCATTAGGTTTGAAAATATCATTTTATTAAAAAGTGATCCAAAACTTGTTCATAGAAAACAATTCAAATTTATACTCTTCTTGTCGTACAAAAGTTTTTTTATTACTTCACCTCAAAATTATATTCTCTTTTTCTATTAGAGCATGACCGGAGGGAGTATTAGATTAGGTCTGGGCGTCTGGTACCCTAGTTGAACGGCGTCGTTTGTGGGGCTACTGTTCCGCGCGTGCATTCTCGTAGTTTTTTGGTGTACCCCATTTGTACCCCATATACCCCAACCCACTTCTTTTTCTCTCCCCCTCATCTTTCCATCTCTCTCTCTCTCTCTCATCCCATCTCTCTCTCTCTCTCTCTCTATTTTCTTCTTTATCGGAGATCATCCTGCCATGGCTTCATCTTTCCCGCCCCACCATTTCTTGTCGCTGTCCTACAAGCTGCGCACCGTGGGGTCTCTGTCGACCGTTGCCGCCACTAATTTCTTCTTTACTAATAGCATTGTCGCTGCTCTTTCTCAGTCACCACCACATATCTCTTCTTCAATAGTGGAGGAAATTGTCCGTCAAGATCTGGAGCATGGCGGCGAAGGCGTCGAAGGATGATTTCTTATAAGATGTGACACCGGAATCAGTTCATCGGCGTCCTCGGAGCAATAGATTTTAGTAGAGATGGTGGTGCAATTTTCAGAGTACACAGACAATAAATGTCTGTTTTAAAACACTTACAGAATTTTAGTGTCTATATAACTGAATAGTGTTGATGAAGTTCTTTTCCTCCTTGCTTAAACATAAGAAATTTGTTAAATGTTCTTGATACAGTATGATTTTGTGTGTTTAACGTGTGAAATTTTCATCCAGGTTACACGGATAATAAATGTTTATGATCAAGAATTACATACATATAGTGTCTATGTAACTAAGTAGTGGTAATTTTTAACTTTTTTTACATTATAGAGAAGTTGTGAAATGTTCTTTATGTTCAATTACGTGGTATATTTGACGGATTTAATTTTTATACATGTTACGCAGACAATGTGAAACACAACTAGTATACAAACACAAAACTACTCAAAGCCGCATGCCCATTAAACATAAAAAATTTGAATAAAATCATTTAATGTGTGAAAATATACAATTGAGTACAACATTTGGAAAGTGTAACTGTGTGAGGCTCACATTCACAAACATTAAAATGCAATCTTCTCGAGAATCTAAACAAAAAGTTAGATGTTAAAAATATTATTTGGCATATTTGACAAGTGCATTTTTCATACAATAATTCTTATCTATCACATAGACATTTCGTGTCTGTGTCATTGAAATTACAAACAACTAGTGTCTGTGATAGTCTTGATAAAATGTTCTTGATTAAGAATTATATATATATATATATATTGTCTATGTCTATATAACTAGGTTGTGTTAATTCTAACTTTTTTTACAATATAGAGAAATTATGAAATGTTCTTTATGTTCAATTACATGGTATATTTGATGGATTTCATTTTTATACACGTTACATAGACAATAAATATCTATTTCTAATGAATTACAGACATGTTTTGTCTATGTGAACATAAAACACAACAAATAATATTACAAAGAGCCAAGAATTAGATGTAGTAAAAAAGGGAGAGATGTAGTTACAATAAAATGTAAGTTATAATATAGCACAATGAGATATTGTTTTCAAGAATGAGAAACAAACAAAGTAGAATTAAATTTCCCTCAATTCCACAATTAAAGCAAGCAAAAGAACTGAGAACATCCAAAATTGTATCACACCCAAACTTTAAATACCAAACATTACATCCTTCAAAATTTTAGAATAAAAAATTCTAGTGACATGTGATGATTCCATCTTTGCCATCACCAATATTGACTTCAACCATCCTCTGCAAGAAGCAATCTTACAGCACACAACTTCAACACATCTTGTTAATGTTGTAAAAACTAAAAAAATGAGAAGTAAATCAACGCATTGGGAAATTAATAACAAATTTAAATCAAAACTAACAATACATTCTAACCAACACATTGAATATCCATGTCTATGAGATTCACTTCTACAGGCAGTTAATGATTTTAACTGAAGAATTTACTTAGTGTCTGTATTTATGCATTTAGAAATACGCCTGTGATTACAGACACGCAGTGTTTGTGATTAAAAATTTACAGACAATAAACATTTGTGAGCTCCATGTATGCTCAAGAAAAATAATTTAATCACAGTTATTATTTATCACAAATAAAGAATGTTTATGAAGCAAACATAAATCATGTACACTTTCTAGATATTAGAATTCATATATTTCTCATATGCCATTGAATTAAAGTAAAACACCGGTGATTTATTGACTGACGAACCTTAATGTCTACACAAACAAACCTTAATGTCTACATAGACCTTAAGGTTGTGAAATGAGTGTGTTATTTCACAGACACTCATTGTTTAAACAATTTGAACATTCAATAATTTTTTCAGGGAGCCATTTAAATCCAAAAGTAAATGTATGTATTAGCATTAGTAATTGACCGTGGCAGTAGCATTTATTGATCATTACTAAGAAATCTGAAAATTTACACATAAACTTTACAGACTATGTGCACTAGTGACAAATTACCTCACAACTATTAGAGAGTTGACATATTTTTTAAATATTCGTAAGAAATAGCTGCCTAAAACTGCAAAACAAAACTGAAATTGGGAAAGTGCAGCAATAAAATCAGATCTGTGAACAAAAAATCAAATTTGGTTTTTGTCTAAATCGGATTGGAAAATCAAAATTTCCACCAACGATGAACAAAATCAGATTTTGCAATGAACAAAATCAAATTTGATTTATGTCAAAAACCAAATAGAAATTTGATTTACCAGAGCAGAAGTGTGAAGTTGAAGGCCGTCGGCGGGAATTTGGAGTGGAGGGTGATGTCGCTGAGGAAAAAGGAAGATGAAGATGGTGGAAGCCGGTACAGAGGAAGATGAACAAGGCAGATGCGAGGATGAGAAAGGCGATGAAGGCCGGAGCTTTTGAGTACGGGAGTGAGGCGGAGAAGGGGAGCAGCATCGTTGACCGGCGAAGAAGAGGACTGCTTAGTGCAATTGATCGGAATGAAGAGACAGAGAAAGAGAGAGAGACTAAGGGGGTGTTTGTTTTTTCTGCAGGAAAAGGTCTGCGGTCTGCGAACCACTACTGTAGACATCTGCAGGAGAAGTGGTGGACCGAAGGTCTGCGGTCTGCAAGAAGAAGACTGTTTGTTTTTTTAATGTCTGTAGACTGCTATATAAATTAATGGTGGT